ACACACACACACACACACACACACACACACACACACACACACACACACGGCTGAAGTTTAAGTTTCCACTACAATTGAAGTCTCTGAATCCTCTTGTGGAGCTAAGGAGCAAGAATTACTGCCCGAGCTGCCCTCAGCCCGTCTTACCTTTCCAATGCTCTTGTCTCTCGCTGGTTGAGCCCAGCTTCTCTCTGCTCCCCAGTGTCTGGCTAAAAACTAGAACTGACCCTAAACCTTCCAGAAGCAGATCTCAAGGACACAGCTCCCCACCAGCATCCTCTGGCAACACCTGCTGTGTATGGGACAGGCATTTCTCAGGTGTATTATGTGTAGTAGAGTATTATTGAAAGGTGTTACTTTTGCTTATGTTGCATTTGTTTAACTCTGTGAAGGTGTGTTACTGTGCCTGTCTAAAACACCTGATGGTCTAATAAAGAACTGACCAATAGCAAGGCAGAAGAAAGGGTAGGCGGGGCTGGCAGGCAGAGACCATATAGAGGAAGAAAAAAGGTGGAGGAGTGAAAAGAGAGCTAGGAGCCAGAGAAGGAAAAGGACATAAGGCCAGCCACCCAGCTACACAACCAGCTAGCCAGAGTAAGAGTAAGATTTACAGAAGTAAGAGAACGGGAAAAGCCCAGAGGCAAAAGGTAGACGGGATAATTTAAGGAAAGTTGGCTAGAAACTAAGCCAAGCTAAGGCTGGGCATTTGTAATTAAGAATAAGCTTCTCTGTGTGAATTCATTTGGGAGCTGGATGGTGGGCCCCTCAAAAAGAGCAAAAACCAACAACAAAATGGCACCCCAATGTGGGGCTCTTGAATATCCATCTAGAACCTGAGAAAGATGAACAAACAAAAAAAAGAGTATACGGCTCCTTTTAGAGTTTCAGCTAGACAGTTTCTGCTGGTCAACGCCTGCCACAGTGCAAGCATTGGCATTCTAGAGCTCTAAGAAGGTCGAATGCAGTACCTGGTCAGACAAACCTCCGAATGGTCGTGAGTTTCACACTTGGCTTTCACAACTGAGAAGCAGGCATCGCCAGCTGTGAGCCGTGCATTTGGAGAATCCAGGTGTACCATATCAGTTTAAAAGTTTGCTCATGCAGTCAAAAAAGGCTAAAAGATACAGTAAAAGAGATCCAGAGACAAAAATCTCTAAACAGGTTCCAGTCTGTTTTACAATGTGTGTAGGCTTAAAGAAAAAAGGTGGAGGAGTGAAAAGACAGTGGATACAAAGGTTAAAAAATGGACAGTGATACAAAGGTTAAAAAAAAAAGTCTTTAAAGAGTAAAAGAAAAAAGCCACATAAGATGGGAAATACATAGGCAGTTTGGATCCTGTATATTGTGTTTTGAATTTTTTTAATGGTCATAAGCAAACAACAGCTGCTAAGAGACATGGGATTGAAAGAGGGACTGATGAAATAAATCAGCCTATATACTTTAGGAATGCCTGAACTTTTAAAAAGTCAAAAAATGTATTTGTCAAATGGAAATAAAAAATGCTTTGGAGTTTTGTTCCCACAGGAGATGAGAGGCTGTGGATTCCTTCAGGGTTAATATGGGTTGGCCTAACCAGGTGAGACCTGAAACTTTGACAGGTGATAGCAAAAGCTACTGCTGGTCTTCCCCGGGACTTGGTCATTATCTCAAGTATTCTCTCTGGGACCCTAAAGATACTTTGTTCACAGATAGCAGGAAGAAGTATGGAGAAAACTACACCCACAATCCCAAGAGTTA